CGACCTCTCTCTCTCTTACCCCCCTCTGTACTGTGTTACTCACCAGACAGGGTACTAGGGACTTTGCCCCCCCCCGACCTCCCTCTCTTACCCCCCTCTGTACTGTGCTACTCACCAGACAGGGTACTAGGGACTTTTCCCTCGCTAGTGATGTTAGCCACAGGTGGCAGCATTGCCCTCGGATTGGAGGTATTGGTCTTTAAACTGTAAAACATTATCTGAAATACAAGATAAGTGGTTATTTGTTAAAAGAACAAGTGGAACGACATCTCAACAAGAAGAAATGTGGAAGGATAAGTAAAGACATGTAAATGAACAAGAGATCCCAGAGGGATCTTGGCGCCCACCTTTGTACCATCTTCATTAGTTCTTTGTCAGTTTCTTTCCTCTAATCTGTTTAATCGAGTCATGTTAACAGTAAATACACCTTGAGGTAACTTTTGATCTAAACTTAATACTGATGTGTATGAAAGCCAACCTTCAAAGTGAGTTTGTCATTTCACATATTTACTAGTACAGTACTTAATGTGAAAGAAATAGAATAGATCAATGCAATATGAGAAAGATCTGTTTAGTTCTTCTTTTAATCCATTTTGTTTTTATGATCAGTCTCAAAATATAACATACACAACGAGGGATCAAACTACATATAAAATTTGAGAAAGATCCCTCTGGTACTTCCCGAGAAATAGCGATAACAAACTTTCACATTCAAAATCCAAGATGGCTGCCTGTTGGCCATGTTGTTTATCCGATCAGTCTCTAAAATTGCCCTGTACAGCTAAGGACCAAGGGGAACCTACATATGAAATTTGAGAAAGATCCCTTTGATACTTCCCAAGAAATAGCGATAACAAACTTTCAATATCAAAATCAAAGATGGCTGCCTGTCGGCCATGTTATTTATCCGATTAGTCTAAAAAATGCCCTGCACAGCTTAGGGCCAAGGGGAACCTACATATAAAATTTCAGAAAGATCCCTCTGGTACTTCTTGAGAAATAGCAATAACAAGAATTGTTTAAGGACGGACGACGGACGGACGGAAGACGGACGGACCGACCACGGACCACGGACGCAGGGTGATTTGAAAAGCCCACCATCAGATGATGATGGGCTAAAAATACAGACTTGTTTTCGTTGAATAAGACAATTTCCTGTCATTCATATATATATAAATGCTACTAATTACAGTACAGAAAGTAAGTCATTAAGATAGCAAGTCACACAATATTAAAGCAAGATACCTCTGTATATTAATGGGGGACTTGATCAACTGGCAAGATTAAACTCAATGAAAATGTCAATAATTGGGGTTCAGGGATTCCATGTTCTGCTGACTGAATATACATATACATACATAAAAGACAGATGGACAGCTGACAGACACAGAAGGACAGAGACACAGAAGAACAGACAGACACAGAAGGACAGAGACACAGAAGAACAGAGACACAGAATGACAGAGACACAGAAGGACAGAAATGTCACAGAAGGAGAACAGAGAAACAGAAGGACAGAGACACAGATGAATAGACAGACACAGACACAGACGGACAGAAAGACACAGAAGAACAGAGACACAGAAGGACAAAGACACAGAGAAGGACAGAAACACAGATGGATTGGTACTTCTTGAGAAGGACAGAGACACAGATGGACAGAGAGACACAGAAGGACAGAGACACAGAAGGAGGACAGAGACACAGAAGAACAGAGACACAGAAAGACAGAGACACAGAAGGACAGAGACACAGATCGATAGACAGACACAGAAAAGGACAGAGACACAGATGGACAGAGAGACACAGAAGAAGGACAGAGACACAGAAGAACAGAGACACAGAAAAGAACAGAGACACAGATGGATAGACAGACACAGAGAAGGACAGAGAAGGACAGAGAGACACAGAGACACAGAAAATCAGAGACACAGAAGGACAAAGACACAGAAGGACAAAGACACAGAGAAGGACAGAGACACAGATGGACAGACAGACACAGAAGAACAGAGACACAGAAGGACAGAGACAAAGAAGGACAAAGACATAGAGAAGGACAGAGACACAGATGGACAGAGAGACACAGAAGGAGGACAGAGACACAGAAGAACAGAGACACAGAAAGACAGAGACACAGAAGGACAGAGACACAGATGGATAGACAGACACAGAAAAGGACAGAGACAGACACAGAAGAAGAGACACAGAAGAACAGAGACACAGAAGGACAGAGACACAGAAGAAGGACAGAGACACAGAAGAACAGAGACACAGAAAGACAGAGACACAGAAGGACAGAGACACAGATGGATAGACAGACACAGAGAAGGACAGAGAAGGACAGAGAGACACAGAGACACAGAAAATCAGAGACACAGAAGGACAAAGACACAGAAGGACAAAACCACAGAGAAGGACAGAGACACAGATGGACAGACAGACACAAAAGAACAGAGACACAGAAGGACAGAGACAAAGAAGGAAAAAGACATAGAGAAGGACAGAGACACAGATGGATAGACAGACACAGATGGACAGAGAGACACAGAAGGACAGAGACACAGAAGGAGGATGGAGACACAGAAGGACAGAGAGACACAGAAGAACAGAGACACAGAAGGACAGAGACACAGAAGGACAGAGACACAGAAGGACAAAGACACAGATGGATAGACAGACACAGAAGGACAGAGACACAGACGGACAGAGAGACACAGAAGAACAGAGACACAGAAGGACAGAGACACAGAAGGACAAAGACACAGAGAAGGACAGAGACACAGATGGATAGAGAGACACAGAAGAACAGAGACACAGATGGACAGAGAGACACAGAAGAACAGAGACACAGAAGGATAGAGACACAGAAGGACAAAGACACAGAGAAGGACAGAGACACAGATGGATAGACAGACACAGATCGAAGGACAGAGACACAGAAGGACAGAGACACAGATGGACAGAGAGACACAGATAGAAGGACAGAGACAAAGCTGCGGTAAGATTTACCTGTTGACGAATACTTTGCCATGTGAAGTAGATTTTGTCTATGTTGGGTTGTATAAGAAGCTCAAACGACAAAGCATAGTCATTGATGATGCCATTCCGGACATAGTACAGCTCAGCATTTATACCTGCGGAGTAAAATATCAAAGTTAAGTAAATATATCAAAGTAATGAAAGTATCGACTGTATAATAATAAACTTGATTTCTCTGATAGCTAGATCTCCTTGTGGTGTGAAGATTTCAACAGATATTGTCATTATAATTATAAATGTTCAAGGACATTATGGGAATGTTCAAGGACATTATGGGAATGTTCAGGGACATTATGGGAATGTTCAGGGACAATTTGTCGGTGGATTTTTGTGGACAATCAATAGACTTCCAATTATGTTGTCTATATATATTGATATCCAGAAAATATGTCCACAAAATTTCATGGAATTCCATGTAATAATTACAGTAATACTAAATGGACAATTTCCATGCATTTTCTCTTAAGAATTTAGCAGAATTTCATGATGTGCATGAATAATCTACACCCAGGAAACTACATGTAGGTGATGAAAAAAATCTTTGTTTCAGGAATTTTTACACCTTCTAAATGTAGCATTTTAATAAATCTAGTAAGACTGATATTTCTATCCTTTCCTGTCAATCACTGTGTTTCGCCTGACATTATATTTCACAGATTATGCTTGACATTTTATTCTCCTGAATACTTGAATTTCATGTAAATGATGCTATTTCGATCAATACTGATAGAAATTATCTCTGAGAATAATATTGACTGAAGATTAAATTCTCCTCTTGAATCAACCAAAAAAAAAAAAAATACAGTGATTACAGGAAAACAGTACATCTTTATTGTGCAGTATAATTAAGTTGTAAGAAAGGTAGTGTTAACAGGTAGGAGCCAGCTAGGCTACAGACCCACACTTGACAAATCTTTATATCTCACACATTCCTGACTTACACTGTAACAACAGTTTTTATTTTGGTGTGAACTTCCTGGAGCTGTTATTGTTGGGTATTACAGTATTGACAAAGGTGATTACAACACCTGTAATATGACACGGTATACAGCACAAACACTACCCTTCATACCTAGCACTAGTTCTTTTACAATTAAATACTAAATCTTCTTTTATAGTTTTTTTGTGTATGGAATTGTTAAATGGTCGTAACCATACGTCTTATCTTATAAATGTTAGCTATCAAATTGTATGTACATATTCTGATATTGTATATCAACAAACGATTACAAATGAATTTTTTTGAATGTTATGAACTTTTATAATTGAACAAACTTTAGCTCTTGCGATGAATATGTGGTTTAATTATCAAAGCTTTTTTAAGAAGGACCCCAATGGGCCTGCATGTTCTCAATTGTCATTCATCTTACATCTTTGACCTTCAAAGTGGGTCACATGAATTATTTACAAACAGACTACCATTACTCTACACCTTAGGGATCTTTGGCAGGAAATTTTGTTACAAAGCACCATGGAATCTTTGTTGAAATATCTAAACTTATTTTTTTCATTTCACAGTGAAAGATGGTCAAGGCCTTTATTTTGAACAAACTTGATAGAACTTCATTCCAGCATGGCCAACTACATATTGACTCTAAGCCTCTTGAATATTAATCAAAAGTTGTTAAAAAAAAATAATATAGAGTGGGTCAAGGTCATTCATTTGAACAATTACATTTTTTTCTACAGAAAACAACATGCCAGACATCAATATCCAAGACTAGCTCTTTAATTGGTTATTCAGAAGAAATCATTGAAATATTTTTTTACACATTTGACCCCTGTGAGCTTGAAATATTATCAATTGACGTCAATAAATTAAACAAACATATTGGTACTTCATTCCAGCATATTGCAGGGTAACTACATGTATGTATAAGGCCCCTTAAATATTCCAAAGATTTTGTTTCAGGTTTTAACAAAAAACAATTCATGGCAAAAATAAAATTTCATGTTTATTTGGTAAGACTATCCTCACAAAATTATCTTCTTTTATAATGAATCTAATTTGAGAAAATTTTACCAAATATTCCAGCGATTTAACATTTCTGAGGCTTTGCCAGGATTGTACTTGCTTGCAGTAAGGAATTTAGATTTCATGAAAATTAAAATAATATTAAGAGAAATTTGTATCCCTAAGGCAAAACAACTTTTGTGCAACAATTATAAAATGAAAATGTTTATATTGCGTGATATTGGCTCAATATCATCAGACACAGAATTTAATTGAGTGTTCAAGCTCTGCCAATCCCCAGTAAACATAACAAATCATTCAAAATGAAAATACTAATATCTTTAAGTATAAAAACAATATTAGCACAATATGACCTGCCAAGACATTTAATTATGATTTCACACCGGTGTTTAAAATGGAAATCAAATATTGCCACAGGTCAAATGATATGGATTGTGTTAGTTTAGTCTCAAGTTTCATTCTTAATGTCAATAGTCAATTTGAGCCTGGGAAACTTTAATTCCTACCACAATTCGCCCTGTTTATCAACTCCTACGCCGTCTATTTACCAGCAGATCTAGTGGTATGGTGTTAAACATTTGAGTGCTAATCAATGGGTTGATTAACACCCGCCATCATTTTGATTTGTGAAAAGAATATTCCTCGACTATAAAGCTTATTTATTATTTATCTTTTTCTCCTCCACGAAGGACATTCACCTGTAATGTTAGCACCACAATGGATGCTTAAATTACACAAGTGGTAAAGGATTATAAACACTCAAATTTAATTTGATTTAAAACCAGAGTATCATAAAATGAAAATTGGACACAAAAATCAGATCTAAACACAGCTGTGATTTTTGCATGGTAGGAAAACTTAACAGTTATCCTGTAACTGTCCAAAGCTTGAATCATATAATATACACATATATGTAACTATATGATGGTGACATGTTATAATTGATATTAAATATAATTATAATTGTACCTGCCCAGAACAGTGCGGTATACACTAATACCTATTTAAATGAACACTGATGATCCGGGCCTGTAGCTACTGTGAGTGTACTCTGGTTACACATAGGATGAATCAGAGCCATCCAGTCAACGATGTCATACAGCAGCATCACATAAACAGGCACAAGAGATGCTGAACACACAAATACTTGATATGATATATAATGAAAGAACCAACAAAACTTTCCAACTTGACCTGATAAACCAACTTGCAGTGGACAAGTCTACAGCAAAGTTGTGTCAGAGAAATGTTCTTTATATCCGGAAACTGACAGGAAAACATCATAGATTAAAAGAAAACAGGAAAAAAAATCATTTATATTTTGTCAACTAGTAAATCATAAAAAATAATGTGAAATAGAAAATTATAATGGCCAACAGCAGGGTGTTCAGCTTTCTCCTTCAACAGTTCTATTTCATGATAAATCTTACCTAGGAAGGATAAACAAATATGTACAACAACATACTGTATTTTAATGTACATTCTAACAGATAATGAACAGTAAGAAAGAACTAAATTAAGTACTGAACTAGACATCTTTGGATTTTGATGCACTGATACGCTTAGGAGACATAATTTAGTGTCCAAATGCTGTAAAGCTATAGATGACATATTAATCAATGAACTGTAAGTTGACAATCACATTACCACAGCATTCAATGAAAGCTAAAAATCAGGGTATGTGACAGAGCCTTGTTAGCTTGAATTGTGAAAATTAAAAGCCAAACAACATCTCATAAAGTTAAAGATTTGTAACAATCATCTAAAGAATTATCTCTGGCTCAAACATACATGTTATGTTTTATTATCTGTAATGTTTATGTCCCTCTCTGACTTGTATTTGGGCCCAATCTGGCATGTTCTGTCACTTGCGTGCCCCTACACTAAGTCTGACAGTCAGAACAGTGACACCCACAATATAAATTCTCTGCACACAGATTTATCAAACTAGTGTGGTAATTTTCTTTTCAGAAGGCAGTACCCTGTCAACTCCTCAGCCAAATGTAGAATATTAAAGTATAAATTGATCTGATAGTCACAGATAATGCTGATAAAATGCTGACAAATGTGTTCCAGACTTCAGCCAATTTCAACATGGTCTGGAACAGTCCTGAGATATGAAAACATGCTGTACATTTTTATGCCTCCAAGTCTTAACATTTACGTAAAGACCATTGGTATGAACTGTCATATTAGTTTTGCCCACTGACAACCCAAAAATTTCAAATCTATTTGAATTCCTTGCTTGATCAAGTATCTGTGTTTCATCCCAGATACCAGTACACAGGTGGACCAAAATATCAATATTACTAAAATGGCACTCAAAAATTATATGGACAACACAGATATTTTATCATAGAAAACATAATTCCAGGTAGATTTTTAATCTGACTTTCTCATCAAAATATATTTTATTCAGAAATCCATAAAAATTTGAATTTTTCCATCGACAATCAAGTTTTTTTGGTGAGCTTCATTGTAAAAGGTTAGTAACTAATTCAGAATTCAAGTAATATTACTGACAGTGATATTTGCCATTCATATTCACAATTTGTTAACATTATCTGAAAGTGCATGCACATTGACTTATCTAAATGATGTCAACATCAAATTAACAAAGAGACCAGTTGTAAAAGTATATAGTCAGTGTATATGTAATTATACTACACAGCATTTGATAATATTACGTTACGGTATGTTAAGCCAGACCCATCACCCACTATATCTAGCTAGAAAAAGTAACCTCGGACACTTTCAATACATAAATAAACAACTCATACAATCTGACGTGCCTTGCTGGTATTACTGATCCAAAGCCACCTGGCTAATACCTCCACAAGAATGTCTGAAAGTGTGCAGGATGGGTAATGGTATTGGTGTTCAGTTTTTGCGTCGGTAGTGTCATGCTTCACTCAACAGGGTACGTAAAGTAACACCCCAACCATTGTCTATAAGTCCACCTGGGTTACTGAAGTTGATTAGGGAGGAGAAAAGCACTTTCTCTGAAAATTTCAGCTACAACGACTTTGAGGATTGTGGACATGATCAGATATCTCCCCCTAATATTGTATACTTGATGACCGTCTGATGGAGGCATCTCCAGCTAATCTGATTTTAGTT